ATACCTATATACCTATATACCTATATACCTATATACCTATATACCTATATACCTACCTACCTACCTACCTACCTACCTACCTACCTACATACATACATACATACATACATATATATATATATTCTTAAGTTTTTGTGGGTACTTACATGTATGGCATTCAGCTTTGTTTGGGTATTTTCCCACGTCATTATAGTTGTGCTTTTAAAGTTGTAGCAACGTTTCGGCAGAATCTCATCTGCCATCATCAGGCTTCTGTATTGTGTTCGTCTGTGAGTCAGACTTTCACAGACTTTCACAGAAACAGCTGTGCAAGTCTGACTCACAGACGAACACAATACAGAAGCCTGATGATGGCAGATCAGATTCTGCCAAAACATTGCTACAACTTTAAAAGCACAACTATGATGACGTGGGAAAATACCCAAACAAAGTTGAATACCATACAGAGAGAGAGAGAGAGAGAGAGAGAGAGAGAGTGTTGATAGATAGCGATAGATATAGATATAAATATAGATATAGGTAGGTAGGTAAGTAGAGAGAGAGAGAGAGAGAGAAGTGAGTGTGGAGAAAAAAATCTGTGTGTAACCCTGAAAGACAAAGAAAAAAATAAATTAAACATAAATGCATAAATGGTTGCATGTTTGTTATGTCAAATTTATTTTATTTAATTATTTAATTATTACATTAAATTTTAACCCCATCTTTACTTTGGGTCAATTCAAGATGGACTTCAGTATAGACAAATGCTACACTCCATGGATAGAATTGTATGCTATTATTCTAGTTTTCCTCTCTGGTATATGCCAAATATTATTATATGATAAGTCAAGAACATGAAGAGCTGTTGAAGATATGTTCTGCAAAGCAAGAGGCTATGGTGGCTGGTTGTACCACATATATCTTGATTTCATATTAGCAGTTGATACATAGGGTCCAAACATGAGTACCTTGGACAACATGAGTTGAAATTAATATTTGGCATATTAGGAACAGAATGTCAGGCCTAAACTCAAAGATGACACAGTGAGATCCAATCAAATTCAGTTCTTTATTTGTTTTCCCCCAGTAGACAGAATCTTGCCAGATTAAAGCTATAAACTTCTAACCTAATAGATATACCATGAAAGATCTTAAGGTAGGGCTGTCCAACCTTGGCCACTTTAAATACAATATGGCTAGCTGGGGAATTCTGGGAGCTGAAGTCCACAGGCTTTTAATTGGCCAAAGTTAAAGAGCTCTACTCTGGGATGTGGCTACCCTGAACCTTGTCTTCCCTTCTTCATCTAGAATCAGAATAGAGCTGGAAGGGACCTTGGAGGTCTTCTAGTCCAGTCCCTTGCTGAAGTAGGGGATCCTATACCATTTCAGAGAAGTGACTGTCCAATCTCTTCTTAAAAACATCCAGTGGTGGAGCGCCCATGATTTCTGGTGGCAAGCAGTTCCACTGGTTAATTGTCCTCACTGTTAGGAAGTTTCTCCTTAATTCCAGATTGCTTCTCCCTTTGATTAGTTTCCATCCATTGTTTCTTGTCCTTCCTTCTGGTACTTTGGAGAATAATTTGATGCCCTCCCTTCTTTGTGCCAGCCCCTCAAACACTGGAATACTGCTATCATGTCCCCCCCCCACAGTCCTTCTTTTTCTCTAGACTAGCCAAACCCAAATCCTGCAACCGTTCTTCATATGTTTTAGCCTCCAGGCCTTTAATCATTTTAGTTGCTCTTCTTTGCACTTTCCCCTCCAAAGTCTCAACATCTTTTTGGGAATGTGGTGACCAAAACTGGATGCAATAATCCAGGCGTGGTCTTACTAAGGCTTTACAAAGAGGTACTAATCTACTTCAGGACTGCACAGTCTCTTGTCTTGGGGGTCTCCTCTGGAATGTGTTGCCTCTTCATTGGGAAGCTATGGTGGTCCTGCCAATATTGCCCTCACTCCTTCACCTACAATGTCCCTTCCAACTCTGTTAATCTGTAAGATGCATCTTTCATCACAGTGTAATCAAACGGTGTCTCCATTTGTCTATTGCCATGATGGCAAACCTATGGCATGTGTGTCACAGGTGGCATGCAGAGACATTTGTGCCGGCACGCGAGCTGCAGGCAAAGTTACCTCACTGTGCATGTGTGTGCCTCACAGCTGATTTTTGGCTGGTTTGAGGCCTTTTTTGGCCTCCCAAAGGCTTGAGGAAGGCTTCTGCAGGCTTAGCAGGCCAAAATCTAGCCCCCGTTTCATCACTTCCGTTTTTTTCGGAAAAACAGGAAGTGACGAAACGGGACTGGTTTTTGGCCTGCAAAATTTGCAGAAGCCTGCAGAAGCCTTCCTCAAGCCTTTGGGAGGCTGAAAAAGGCCTCAAACTGGCCGAAAATCAGCTGTGAGGTGCAGTGCAGGTAAAGGGGGCAGCAGGGGGTGCATGGGCGGGTGGAGGGATTGCGTGCGCAAGTGTAGTGGGCATGTGAGGGGTGCATTGCCTTCTGGGTACTTGCACGTGAGCATGAGCGTGCAAGCACGTGAATAATTTTTGGCACAGGAGCCCAAAAAGGTTAGCCACCACTGGTCTATTGTAAGCAGAGGTGGTATTCAGCCGGTTTGGACTAATTCTGGTGTACTGGTAGTGGAAAGTTTGACTAGTTGGGAGAACTGGCAAATATCACCTCTGATTGGGCCTGCCCACCCACCCCTGCCATTAGCTCTCCTCAGGGGTGGGATTCAAAAATTTTAACAACTGGTTCTGTGGGCGTGGCTTAGGTGGTGGGCGTGGCTTGGTGGTCATGTGACTGGGTGGACATGGCTTGGTGGTCATGTTATTGGCTGGGCATGGCCAACTCAACATCACTCACATCGAGGCACACATCTCCTCACCTGGCCTGTGGGGATGCTGCAACAGTCGTAAGTGTGAAAAAGGGTCATAAGTCACTTTTTTCAGTGCCATTGGAACTTTGAATGGTCACTCCACACAAGCAAAGTACCAGCAAAGGAGGGGGAAAAACTCCAGAGAAGTTCCTGAGACAGGAAGTCTAGTCCTGCCAAGAATGTAATAAAGGTTAACGGAGAAGCAGTTTCTGTAAGCAACACCAGAATGTTTCCTTCCTGCCTTCCTTACAGGATTAGGCCAGTAATTTCTTCTAACAACCAGTTCTCCGAACTGCTTAGAATGTTAACAACCGGTTCTAGCGAATAGGTGTGAACTGGTAGAATCCCACCCCTGGCTTTCCTATATTCCCTTGGTTTTTAGTTCAGCTGATTTGCATGGCAGAACGGATTGCTGTGCCTCAGCTGAGCTAAAAAAACCAGCTCAGCTCACTCATCAACATTCGGTCTTTGAACCCTGCGCACGAGCGTGAAGCATGCACGCATAGAACTGCTCATAGAACCGGTAGGAAAAAATTTGGAAACCCACTGGATCGTGGATCGTTTTTTGCTTTAGCCCTGCAGGAGAGACAGAGCTTTTGTGAGTTCTAGTTCCAAGTGACTTGACTTGAAGCTGATCTCTTCCACTAGGTTGACTTTGATATTAAAAATGGAAGACACTGGGGAGGTTCTGCATCCCAAGCAGAGTACAAGTGGCGAGTGTCAGACTTCTTCAACTTTTCTAAATGCTTCTCTAAACTTCGGTTGACAGGGACACGAAGTGTTCTACTCAAAAGGAAACCAAGCCACATGGCCACAGCTGAGCAAGTCATATTATTCCAAAACGGCAGGTCAGTCAGATGTGATAGACAACGAAAGCTTTATTTTGAATCTGTCAGAGAAAGAGCTATGGTTTGTTATATTTTCATTAGGTTACCCCTTAAGCTGGTCCCAAAACTTAATTCCTCTTTTCAAAACAAATATTAAATAACCTTTTATATTGCTTGACACACGGTAGGACAAGAGACATTACAAATACGTCTTATTGGAAAAAACATTAGAGACAGTGTTCGCTTAGCGGCTACTCATGTAGGAAATGATATTCTTACTGTAGAGTAACTTCTACACCTCCTTATCATTACATCAAATGATTGAAGTGTTGCCTACATCCAAGAAAACAATAATAAAAAAATCTACTTAGGAGGAGAAGTCACATATGTTTTAAAGGAGAAGGTTCTTTGTTCTTGGACAATACTATGCTGGACCTGGGAGATGTAAACTTTCACCCATCAAATGCTAATACAAGTAGTCCTTATTTAGTGACTACCTCATACATCGACCGTTTGTAGTTACGATGGGAATAAAAAAGTAATCTTTTCAACAGTTCTTGCATATAGGACCCTTGGAGATCTGTAAAGCAAAGGAAAACTGAAGTCAAATTGTAAACACAGTAGCTGTTTCACTTAGCTACTGCTTCACTTAACAACCAAGTTGCCAGTTCTGTTGTGGCCCACCGGCGGCAGGCGGAGCTGGCAGCAGATTCGGACAGTAGTGAGGAGGTTGGGGAGGAACCTGGGCCAGTCATGGAAGCTGAGGAAGGCTCGGATGAGGGCTCTGCATCAGAGGCAGAGGTGGGGCCAGGGCAGGCTGGCAGTCATCAGCTGCCTTTGGGCTCAGACAGCAGTGAGGCAGAGGAGCTTCTGGAACCGGTTCCCAGCCTGCACATGCGCAGAACTGCCAAAAGAAAGGCACAATTCAGAACTCAGGGTCGATGTGGGAGTAAGGCCATAGGTGGATGATGAATGGCCCATCCCATCAGGATTAAAAGAGAAGCCAAAGGGGAGGGGGCTTTTGCAGGAAACAACTCGCTCATTCAGTCGTCCATTCATTCCAGCCTCATGGAGTTTTGTCTGTATAACCCAGCCCTTCCCTGTCAGCACTGAGTGTGGAACTATTTACCGGGCAGTGTTCCAGAATTGATAAAGGTCTGAGCTAATTAGAATACCTTTGCAAGACTGTTTGCCAAGCCGTTGGCTGACCGTGAATGAAATAAATTCACATTAATGTAATAAAAGAAGTTTTTGCTGGGTCTCAGAATTGACTTAGTGCTTTTTGGGGAGGCCTAGGACAGAACAAGTTCCAGTTGCAGTTGCTAAATGAGAACTACATGGATTTTATTCTTGGAATAAATACTCGAGTCAGTGAGAGTTCATCGCCTATAAGCATTGTAGACTGAAATTAGTTTTGAGCTAGTTTTCAAGGAAATATTATTAATAATAACAAACTGTTGTCTCTATTTTAGAATTAATATTGCTGGGGTATGTGGAATATCACAGTGGTTCTGTCTTGGATTGTACCTGGAGAGAAACCCAGAGTTTTATGTACTGTATCTACTCAGAGCAAATTAATGTATTTAAAATAAATTACGTCTCACAGCTTCAATGTTTCATTTCCTTTCTTCTTAAAAAAAAAGTGTATTGAAAAGAAACATTCTGAATCAGTTCATTTTTGTTCATCTATATATTTTTGAGTTTTAATAAAATTTATTCAGTTTGAATGCCCTTAATGAAATCAGCTTGCTGAAAAGTCAGGAAGGATCTAGAGAATTTATATCAGATAATCACACACCTTCTTCTGTTATGAAAAGAGAAAACCAGTATTTTCTCTTTAGGGAAGTGTAGAGACGATTTATTATGCAGGAGACCCCCCTAAATGCATGCTTGGGGACTAGGAATAATTTAAAGGCATGGAATGTACTTTCCTTTGGCTTGCATAAAATATAAACGCTACTAATGCAGGATCCATTGGTACCCTGATGTTCAGAACCAATGAGGGGGCAGAAAGATTTTAACTGTACTGAAATAGCAATACTCAAACCATGTTTATTCCCAAGTCTTTTCCACATTTGGACTTGAAACTGTAGATTTCAAATGTGATCTTCCTTTCCTCCCATCCTTCTTCCCATCCTTCCCTCCTTCCCATCCTCCCTCCTTCCTTCCTCTTCCCTTCCTTCCTTCCAAACTTCCTTCCTTCTTCCCTTCCCTCTCCCCTTCCTTCCTTCTTTCCCTCCTCCCCTCCTTCCTTCCTTCCCTCTCCCCTTCCTTCTTTCCCTACTTCTCTCCCTCCCTCCCTCCTTCCTTTCCTCTCCCCTTCCTTCCTTCATTGCAACCTTC